AATAATTTTTTATAAACCATACTGCTCAAACGACCGAAAAAATCTTCAATCGTACGACACTGTGTAAGATTTGTGGGGTTCCGTGTTTGTATTGCAAAAGGAATGTTAATAGACCTCTAGGAATTGTATCGTTTTTTGGCATATTGCGAAGACGCTTTACCAGGCGAAAAAACATGTTCTTCGTCTGGATGGTATTTATGAATGAACGGTATGAATATTTTTTTGTGACACTCGTTTTCGTATACTTTTTGATTGACCGCTAATCCACTTGGCTCGAGCCACAGTTTCGAGACCCCCTTTCAGAAATAGCGACATATAACATAATTTTTTGATCGAACTTGTGTTTGTACTCGTGTTTTATGTTTTCTGGTGTAGTCAAAACATCGTTGGTATAGTATATGTCATTTCCAGGAATATAAGTTTTAATCAAAGGAAAATAGTCATGGTCCAAAATAAATTTCTTTCCTTTATAATTTGTTGTGTACATTAATTTTTTTTGCGGCATCTCGTTGGCGTATGCTATCTTTATCATTAAAAGTACTATGTCGCTGGCCGACCGCTGCCACTTTTGCGAGCTACTGCCAAGGATGCTAGGATTCTATATGTGGTATAAATTGGCACATTTTCCGTGATAAAATGGTCCACTGTGTACTTTTTACCCGAACTGATATTGAAATTGTAAAAAATTACAACGCGTAGTCTCAAAGCTTCTTGTTTGGACGCCATTTTTGACAAAGATAAATGCTTGTGAAAAGAAACTAATGAAGTTTATCATTCACAAAAGAGGTCTAACAACTTACTGAACAACTTTTTTTTTCCTAAGTTGACAGTATTAATTTTGGAGATGCAATAATGTATTCTCATTTTTTGTTATCACCCGTTATTTAATGTTGCAGTGTGTTCCTCAGGTATTCTTTTCTTTTCAGGTGTGTCCGTTGCTATCATGCTTTTACCCAATTTTTTACCTTTCCGTTTGTTGGAACGAGGATCAGCCTTTAGCAGAGGACGGAAAAAGAGGTGGAGTGATGATATGTTCTTTTGATTTATGAATTTCATCTTTGCATTCTTCATCTGGTTGCTTTGTCGGTGTCATGTTTTGGTAGTAACTGTGATGTTCTTCTGATAATGTAGATGGACTTTCTCGATCAGGAGTAATAGCGTGATAAAAACTTAAACGACCTGTCTCTAGATGAGGCGCATGACCAAAAAATCTTGAACACTGTATAAAATATTTCATTACCTCCACGAATAATTCACTAGTCACCCAAACTGACGGACTCGCAAGACCTAAACTACTTGGAGGTACACCATTAAGTTCTAAAAAATATTGCCGCAGCTTCCAGATTGAATGAGGTAGCTCTTGGGAGACTTACAGCTTCTGGTTTCTTTAGAGAAATATTAGAATGTCTTTTTTTTAAAGAATTGCTTGGTATTTTAATGCCATTAACCTTTGCCATTTCGTACGCCACCATCCTACATTCTTTGATGGTAGTATTATTCGTATTCGTAGAACCTTAGTGCACAGTCTTTGTAGTATTTTAATAATATTTGTTCGTGTTCTTCAGTAAACACTTTATTAATATCATACCTCGGTTCGAGTGATACATTATTTATTTTATTTTTGTTTTATTCGGCAACTTCACAGCATACAATAATCACTTTACAAAATATAATTCACAAAAAATATTTAGCCATTTAAGAAGTTACAACAATTTACATTTTTTTTTGTAAGTTTATACAACGGGAGGAATTGTTACTGTTTATGTGTTGTGCGTGCGCGTTTTTGTGAGTGCGAGCGTGCGTGCGTGTTGATTTTGTGTCCGATCAATAATACAAAAACTTACGGTAGCCCGGGTTAACTTTGACAATCAGACGTCTAACACCTCAGTCTGTCCCGTGACCATGAACGCTGTAAAGGGTTCGAAACGTCGGGAACTAAAATTAAAAATAAACGCGATAAATCCGTAAAATTAGTTTCATTTATAATGTGTAATCGCGTAAATACAAGAAAAAGTCGGCCTCTTTTAATTCCTGTGATAACTGGAGCTTATAAGGATGCAATTTAAGATCCAACTTCAAAATTCGCTGTAAACTTCGTCGCGACAAGTTTAAAGCCGCCGATCGCTTCCGAGTAGACACTTGCGGATTTTTTGGTACCGACTCCTTCACCCTCCATATTGTCTGTGGTCCTAAACGCTCTTGGACGACCTTTTGCTGGTGGTTTAAACGTGGAACCGGTCTCTTCAAATCCGGTCTCTTATTCATATTTTAATTAAATTTGCACTCGGAGCTTCATTAATATTTGTTAATCCATATTCAAAATAATACATTCGCCTTGTAGAGATGTATGAGCCACCTTTCTCCGCTCCGTAACCATGAGTCACTTCGACGCTTCCCGTCGAACTGACTCATGGTTACTAAAACTCCACGAGTGCCACTATCCAACCGAACGCTAAGCTCCCGCCCTGTTAACCCCGCGAAAAAAGATGTCGCAATATGCACGTTCTATTGCGCCACCCTGTATTTAAATCTCTTAATATCTCGGATGTCTGTGCCACTTCTTTAACACGTTTAACGCCGCCAGAAAAACCCAATTTTTCCGTTCAGGCCGTGGAGGTCAGGATGTGGACACTATAGTTTTCCATTTAGGCCACGGGGCCCACCATGTGGCCGCGCGCTAAGCATGATTTCAAACCCTCTACAGAGCCGACGGGCACGTATTTCTTTGAAATTCCTATCTATCTATCGTGACCCCCGCGGCCCTGTAGATTAAACTAGTGTAGTTGGTTTTCGGAAAAATATAAAGTTTGGAAAATTATGACCAAATTTTGAGATTTCATCTTAAATTATTTTGTGATTAGTGTAAATAAAACAATCAATGAATCGTTTATGTAGGTAACTATTTATTGAAATCTTATGAACTAAAATTAAAGCATTAACATTAAAATATAAATTATATATAATAATATAAAATAACTTGTCTTCTTTCTTCTTGTAAATATAAATCAACTGAGATCAATAAAAATAGTAAGTTAGCTACATAAAATCAATGAACTTTTGGGAAACAATTGTGGCAAAGAAATGGTTTATCAGGAAAAGTATCGCAAAACGTAGCCACTTTCTTTGTTTTGTTTTTTGCAATTAACAGTCCTAGGATCTTTACATTCTCTATGTAACACCGAGTACATGTGAGTCGACTTTCTCTTAGTGGTCTTTCTTTCTCTGTGAGTTTTTCTCTGTGTTTCAGTCGTTTTGGTCTCAGATTTTCTGGTGTCTTCTTTTTCGGCAGCAAACTGTTTACTAAATTCTTTCTGAAATCAACCATTGTCATCGCTTTCCTAGTGGTTGCCTTGAAGAGTATCCAAGCGTGTTGTTAATGCTGGCAACAATATCTCAAACTCTCTATATCTCAAACCGGTTTCGTGACAAAATCTTTTGTGCAAAGGGTTGAGATACCATTACGTCTGTAGACCAATTATCCGCGATCTTTGGCAATTTTACCAGACCCATGAACATTATTGGAGCAAAAAAGCTTTTCATTTATTCAATGTTAGTAGGCGTCCAGTCATGTATGCGTGCACCCTTTGAAGTTTCACGTGCAATGCCTTTGAAGTTCTTATCAATAGCAAATTGGTTAGTATTATCGACTATCTCCCCAAAAATATCATCCGTCACCAAAAGCGAGAAAAAATCACACGGATTTTTGTTAGTCATAGTCAGGCGAAGACTAGGTGGCATGCGAGGGCATTCGGTAAACGCAATTACTCGTCGTTGCTTACCTTTTGGCAAACGTCCATTCAAACGACGGCCAGTTCCCGCTAGTGTCAGGAACAATAGACAAATCTTCTGACTCACATTCTTCGCTGTAATAAACCATCGTACGTCGTTTCTTGCGCAAAGTTTGGAACTTAACAGATTCTTCATCTTCAGAGCTGACATGGATACTGCTATTTAGTAGGTTAAATTCTATATTTTCTATACGCGATAAGTCTTCTTGGCTTATCTCGAAACTAACGAAATCATCCATGGCCGCACTTTCACGAGAGTTTCAGAGAGAGTTTAGGATTTAATAATGTGGAGGAAATTTTATGAAAATACAACATTCCAATATTGATGGCTTCTGCATCAAGCAAGTGTTTCCATTTAGCAACTTTTCCGTCAAATTTTATGGAATTGAAAGAGGGAAAAATAAGAATGACATCAATATTTAGTATGTGCATGATGTAAATACTAGGAACAGGCATAAATTAGTTCTACCCTCAACTAGATTGCGTAGAATAAGTAAATCTTTTATGGAACAATGTATACGTTTTCACAGAAAACGTTCAAAATGAATCTATTGCTAAATTCACAAAACTTGTAAAGGAACGTATTTGTGTTAAAGGATATTATAGTATTACTGAATATTTGAATGATAACACACTGAAAATGAATTAACCGCTCTAGGCTCTTTCAAGTGGAATTTAATAAATTGTACACGTTTGTTGTAGATTTATCAAATTAAGAAAAAATGTCCTGCTGACTTTCTTTCGCTGGTTCTTCTCAGGTCAGTGGCTTTCTTTCCGAACCGTTAGTAGTGTTTTTGACAATCAATAAGTAAGTGTAATGTTTTTATATTGAATAAAGATATATGAATTTGAATATAGTCGTCAATATCTGGTATAAATTACAACTTGCTAGATCCACCCAGATGGACGAAGTCTGATCTTATTAGAGTTTCTTTGTTTACCTTTTGTTTAATATTGGAATAAATAGGACTTGCCTTTTTAAAAATTATGTATATTATAAATATAATAAAAATAATAACAAGAAATGTTCGTGGCAGAGACGGCGAGCGCCCCCTTAGCTGACTGGCCCCCTCCTCCTCGCCTTACCTCCTTGCTTGTCCGATACGCGTAAAAACCGCGACCTTCTTCGCTGTCATCAGTCGGTAACAGGCACATCTTGTTGGCAGCCCTTCGGATAATCCCGTTTGAAGTAGTGTGTCCGCAAGTCTGCTAACGCCGTCTATTCCTGGTTACAGTTGGCTCGCGCGCCCAAATGGACACAGAAGAGGCGGCATAGTATATTCCTTGAGGAACTCGCATATGGTCCCACATATCCACATGCGCGTTCCCGCTGTAGAGTACACCACTTAGTGCGTTCCTGCAGTTCTGAATGTACTTGGTGACATGTTCCCGGTGCCATCTGTCCCAGAAGTGTTGCCGTATTTTCTCGACAAGCTCGTATCTGGTGGGCCTTGTAACATTAATAGGCATCGTCGGAATGGACATAAGGGGTCTCCCAATCAGAGATCACGGATCAGCAGAGTTGGAGGAAAGAGGAGGCAGCGGACGCAAATTAAGGATTCCTTCAATCTATGCAAACAGCGTTACTAGCTCCTCGAACGTTAAGGCAGCGGTGCCAGTTACACGCTATAAATAAAATTTGGCCGATTTAATTCCAGCTTCGAATAATCCACCAAATTGTGGAGAATATGCGGGGCTAAAAACAAACTTTATTCCCTCAGCGCTGGCATAATCGTAGACAGATTGACGCCTGAACCTTAGTATCCTACCTAATTCATTATTCCTATCAAATTTCTGCCATTGTCGTAAAGGATCTCGTAAGGTTTACCTTTACGTGACACGAATCGTCTAAGGCTTAAGATAAAGGCTTGAGTACTTAAATCACTTACTAGTTCTTTGGTACTAAGACATACAAATAAACACAAATAGCATTTACTATTTCTGTCTTTAAACTTGTATTTTGGTATTCTGAAAGTTGTCGTAAAACCTACGAATGGTAGCGGTACGCATCTATTAAAATTTGAGGTCAATGGTCACAAAAAAAGTTTTTTATTTTACAAATAAATCATTTTCTATTGGTTTGGGCATGAGACAAATTTTGGGTAAATGGATCGAGTCCTTGAATGCATCAGTAATATCTTTTTGATTGTTTCCATACAGCAAAGGTTATATTAAAAATGTATTCAGCATCAGACTGGTGGACTGTTTGCAGATGGGTACTCAGGTTCAGGGAGTATAGTCACTGATGCAGGATACCGTTTTGAAAAATGTTTTACACGACAACGTGCTGTCTCTTTAACTTAGCCAATCTTCGCAGCGGCCAATTCCATTACAGACAATGACCGTTTACGTCGTCATAGTTGGATAAATTTCGGTCAACCTTAAATATGAGTGATGTATCGTCCGCAAACAGTACAACATCACAAAACTCACTGGCATAAAAGGGGAGATCATTTATATATACTAGAAATAAAAATGGGCCCAAGATTGATCCTTGTGGTACACCCATTTTCATGGGGGACCCTGAGGAATTAACATCATTTATAGATACTTTTTGAATTCTATTACTAAGGTAAGAGGTGATGAGATTGAGGGTGCTGTCATGAATGCCATAATAATCTAGCTTGCAAAGAAGGGTATTGTGATCTACGCAGTCGAAGGCTTTTGAAAGGTCACAAAAGACACCTAACACATCTTGTGACCTTTCCCAGGCGTTAAAGATATGCTTAACAAGTGCGACACCTGCATCGGTTGTCGACCTGCCCTTAGTGAATCCCTATTGCTCATCGTGAAAAATTTTGTTCATATTAAAATGTACTAATAGTTGATTTAAAATTAGTTTTTCAAATATTTTACTTAGAGATGGCAATATGGAAATAGGTCTATAGTTACCTGGATCATTTTTATCTCTACTTTTGAAGACGGGGATTATCTTACTAGATTTCATAAGATCTGGAAATATTCCAGAATCTATACAGTTATTAAAAATGTAAGCCAAATGTGGTGTAATATATGGCATTATTGTGGTCTTTAATTTTATGGACATGCCCCATAAATCCTCTGTACTTTTAAGATTAATAGAATTCAAGGCTTTTATGATATCATTAGTATCTACATGATTAAATTTAAACGTGTGGACAATAGGTAACATTATTTTGCAATACATTTATTGCAGCTATGGGAGAGGATTTTAATGTGCATTGTCAATAACTGCAATTTCTGAAAAATAATTTTCGAAGCTATTTGCAATTTAATTGTCTGATGTTATGGGAGTATTACCTATGATAAGTTTTATAGGTTCCCTGAATATTTTGGGTCTTCCAGATATACGGGTAATGTCATGATTGTCCCTTATGGCTGGCTTTTATTTTATTGTTTGAGTTTAGAATTCTATTTCTTATCTCTATAGATTTTGCCTGGGCACAGACTTTTTAAATATTTTTGAGAACGTTTGTACCCGCTAATGGAAATTAGGGTCGTAATTCCACTGCCTCATATTATACAGCGTGTCGTTACCATCGCGACAATAAATGAACACACGTCTAACGCTACTTGCCAATAATCATAAAAAAAGTTAACGCTAAACACATAATTAAAAAAAATATTTTTCAAACAAACTAATTAAGCAAAATGAAACAAAATTTGTAACATCCTATACAACTCGCGCCACAGCGTCGCATTACAAGCCTCTCCTTCTAACAGTATGTTTTATCTCTTTTAAATTCATTTAACCCATTCATATGCTTTGTGACCTTTACAAATGAACTTTACGTTACAGTTTTATACGTAGGGATGTTCTAAAATTGTTTGTTTTGGAAAATTTAATAACTCGGTAAATATTGATGTTAAAAGAATGTAAATGTTTAATACAATTTTAAAAAGTTATCCTCTATATGCGTGTTCATTTATTGTCGCAGTGGTAACGACACGCTGTATAATTCATAATGTGAATCCCTACTTTTATATATACCCACTGTTGCCCAATCACTAAATTTTAATTTGGAATTTTTAGTAATAATGCGTGATTTAAAAGTATCATTATAAGAAGATATAAGGAAATCAACCATTTATGTTATGTATATACCATTATGTCTTTTAGAGAAAATTTTAAACCAGAGTGATCACAGCTAAGACAGTTTATGATTGATTTTTCATATACTATATTGTAACAGAATACATTGTTTATACATGTGGAAGATGAGTTAGTGACATGAGTTGGTTCATGATAAAGATTTTTAAGTTTAAATGAACTAAATAAATTTAAAAGTCGTTTGCTAAGTGGTGTCACTTGTAATAAATCCACATTAAAATCTCCACAAACTATTACTGGTTTACTACTTAAACAGAGTTTTTTGAGGACATCATACATTACACACTCAAACTGATCGAAATCACCTGAGGGGGGCCGATACACGCATACTATAATATACTGTTGACTCTCAACGCAGGATAATTCTATAGAACGTTCGACAGAGTGTGCCACTATATCCTGTCGATTTTTACATACTATATCAGTTCTTACTAATACAAGAGAGCCACCGCGAATAGCATTTACTCTTACGAACGAACTTAACAATTTATAGTTTTCAATATCTACAATATTATAATGCTTATGTAACCATGTCTCTGTGAAACAGAAGACATTGTAACGACCTATTAATAATAATAAATGTTATTATTAATTAGTCATAATAAAGATCAATTAAGATGAAAATAAAACGTTTAAGAACGTTTAATCACAATAAAGGTTAATAATATATACTTAAATTAAAGAAAATTAAGTGTTAGTATGAGAAAATGATATTATCAAAAATTGATTAAAAATAATTAAAAATCATTTAAAATACTTAAAAAAGGGTATTTATTAAAAATATAGCAATATACGATCACTATTATGTCAATAAAATACAATTCCATACTTAGTGATTTTTAAGGTCAGAATTGTAAATGTAGCCTGCGGAGACACATTTGTATAACCGTACATATACAAGTACAGAGGTCGATCGCGACTCTTAGTACTATAGTGAAAGTACATTGTATGAACGTCCCATACCAATATCATATGGAAGTAAGGTCTAATGGATGAAAGTGATAATATGTGAAGGCTCAGAGAAAAAATAATAAATATATAAATATAATGAAGAGCAATGAATGACTTGGGACTTTATAAGAGATATTACTATGGAGTTGCATGGTACTTCTGTACGACGATATGGTCTACGGTAAACGTGGAACCATGAATGGATATGTCTTGAGTGGAGGACATATCATTGATAGCTGGTGGTAGTTGGCGTCTTAGTGACCATCACTATGATAAGTTAGCTGTCATTCGGCAAAGTAAGAGTTTGGTGGTGGTTGGCGTCTTAGTGTTTACGCTATGATACGTCGACTATCATTCGGATCGTGAAAGAGTATGTTTGGACACTTCGTGTGTTCCGAGTATATTCTAAACTTGGAGCCGAAGTTGATTGGAGTTATATTGGTGTGGTGTGAGGGTGTGCCACCTACGCGATAGTCATCACCCATCACCCATTTGTTACTCACTATTTGTGAGTATTGTTTAGTAATGTTGTGTAGTAAGTAGAAGGAGATAATATAAAGATACTCCCCGGGATTGAGTCGTAGAATTTGAAAATTCGGCAGTTAGGCCAGTGTTAGCTCCAAGACGACTTCGGTTTCTCGAATTTTTCCAGGTATTTTCCACGTATCTAAATCCCGGTTTCGCGGGCGACGCTTGTTGACGTTGCGTTGATACCACTGTGCACCGGTTGCGCGGCGGTTGAACTTATTTTGTACATTGTAGATTCACGGTGAAATGTTGGAAACCTTCATTTTTTAAGTCTTCATACGCTTTTCAGCAATCACTGTGATTCACAGTTCCCAGCAACACGTATTTCTTCAACACATTTAAAAGCGTGTCTTTATTCCTTTGAGGCACTGGGACAAAAAACTGATTCGATCTATTTCCCCTTTCGACGCCGCCAAAAACCCATTGGCCATGGATAATTCGGCCCCGATTATATTTTCAGCGACCGAACTTTGCTTCATCTATCTCGACAACTACATCCTTTCCTCCAATTGGCTGTGAATTTCATTGACATACGTTCTTGAAGAAATATGGAGTTCATTAAGCATGATTGTTGTGCGGCCGTGAACGGCGACAAGCAAGTACATATTAACAAATTCACATACTTTTCCAAGTGATAGTCTGGCATTATTAAAAAAAGAAGAGTTTCTAAAAATACTAAAGGTACTGTTACACTGACGCTTCTTCGTCTTTGGTTTAATTATTAAATTATAACATATTAGCTTTACTTTGTTTTATCTAAGAAGGTAGAAGTATAAATACTTTTACTTATCACTGTAGTTTTACTTTCCACAACAATAACACTGGTATCATATTTTATCACTTTTACACTAAAGAAACACAACTCTTTAAACTGTGACACTGATTGCGCAGCACTATCACGTACACTTCTTGTTGA